TCCAGCCGACATGTCGCAGGGCGGCGTGAACACCAACCTGAAGAAGAAGTCGGTGTTCGTTCCCTACAGAGACTCGGTGCTGACGTGGCTGCTGAAGGACAGCCTGGGCGGGAACTCCAAGACCATCATGATCGCCAGTGAGCAGAAAACACGACGTGAACGTGTGCGGGTGTCAGAGAGCGCCCCGAGAAAACGCAATCTGCTTCTGTTTCAGCCATTTCTCCCGCCGACGTAAATTACGGCGAGACGCTCAGCACTCTGCGCTACGCCAACCGAGCCAAGAACATCATCAACAAGCCCACCATCAACGAGGACGCCAACGTCAGGCTGATACGAGAACTGCGGGCTGAAATCGCCCGGCTCAAAGCTCTGTTGGTCCAGGGCAACCAGGTAAGAACTACAAACATGGCGGTTGTTGTGCAGGACTCTTTCTCTGTGCTTTTTAAAGTGATGCGTGTCACACTTGTCAGATCGCTCTGCTGGACTCGCCCACCGCTCTGAGCATGGAGGAGAAGCTGCACCAGAACGAAGCCCGGGTGAGTCTCACGCCGTCCGCAGCCTGACCTCCGTCACGTTTACGGCTGCGAGCAGAAGCAGCTGACCTCTGCTGTTTGCAGGTCTTGGAGCTGACCAAAGAGTGGACCAACAAGTGGAACGAGACTCAAAACATCCTGAAGGTAGCGGCGAGCGTTGACCGTCCGGCCTCCTCGCAGCAGATGTTTGTTTTTGTGGCTGAAGTTGTGAAATGTTGCAGGAGGAGACGCTCGCTCTGAGGAAGGAGGGCATCGGCGTGGTGCTGGACTCCGAGCTGCCTCACCTCATCGGCATCGATGACGACCTCCTCAGCACCGGCATCATCCTCTACCATTTAAAGGTCAGCGCTGCATCCACACACGGATACCTGCCCGCCACTAACATCCAATCACAGTGCTTCGTGCATGGTCTGTTATTATTGGTCAGATAATCTCATTAAAGTCAGCTCAGGTGAGATGTATGAAGGAGTGAAGACCAAACTGTTTGTCACGCTGTGACCTGTGCGGCTGACTCACCGCTGCCCCCGCTGGACGTCAGAGTGACTGCGTGTCTCTGTCTCGTTTCTGCAGGAGGGGCGGACCTACGTGGGCAGAGAGGACGCGTCCACGGAGCAGGACATCAGTGAGTCATAACTGTAATGATGATGATGAGGCTGATGGCGTTGCTGACGGTGATCTCGTTCCTCCTGCAGTCCTGCACGGTCTCGACCTGGAGAGCGAGCACTGCATGTTTGAGAACCAGAACGGGACGGTGACGCTGGTGCCGCTCGCCGGAGCTCAGTGTTCGGTCAACGGAGTCCAGGTGACGGAGCCGTCGCAGCTCAACCAGGGTGAGGCCCGCCTCCTGCTCCCAGCTGCAGCGCGTTGCTCTGTCTAAACAGATTTTAAAGGGCGTTGCCACAGTAACGTGATGCTTCAGCA